CTTCCTTCCGAGGAGTGGCTGGTGGGTTTGAACCGCCAGCCGTCTGGTTAGCAGGCAAGTGTCTTAGCCACTATGCTACCAGAGCTCCCTTTCCGAGGTGGTAAGAGGTGGTAAATTTTTACAGAAGTAGGTTGCCCAGGGTGCCTTCCACAGATTGGCTGGTAGGTTTGAACGCCAGTCTTCTGATTAGCAGTCACATGCCTTAGGCACTATACTACCATGAGGAATTTGGCTTATTTGGTTTTGTCCTTAGGCTTTCCTGCTGGTTGAGAAATGAAGGGATTGCTTTGTTATTCTTGATCTATCCTATGTCTTAACACTTACACCTTCTAGAATAAATTCATAAGTAATACCTGAGAAGCCCAAACAGAAATTAAATGCACATGCAAAGGAGTCTCCTGTGAATAGTTGTATTGATGTTAACACTGGTTTCTTAAAGTTGATTTATCTCACAAGTTTATCTGAAGCTTTGGGTTTTAGCATTTCAATCATGACACTCCCAATTGGAGGTGTTTTGTGGGGGAGAAGAGTTTCAGGCTTCAACCATTTCCTGGAATTTACAAAACTGAAGAAATATGATTTGATTGCTGGCAAAGATCAGTCTCTAAACTTTTTCATTTGCTTCCTCCTTTTGAGTGTCAGAGTTTATCCTATCATTCAGCAGAATACGGAGACTTCATCTAAAACGGAAAAATGAAAATGATCTTTCAGAAGCTATTGTTTTGCAAACAAACCACTATTTTAGAAACAGTAAACATCCTCTTTTCTACTAAACACTCCAGAGTCTTTCTAGCAGTTAATTATTAGGTAGTCACAAAAGTAGCCAGGGGCAATCAGTCTAAAGTTAAAGACATCTTTCAAGTAGATAGAAATTATTTTACGGAAAAGACCTATTTTTCCCACCGAGCACATAATGAAGAAATCAATGTAAAATGCAACAAAAATTCGCTTACACCTAAGTAATTTAACAATTAAGGACAACTAACGTTGGAATAAGCTATCAAAAGAGAATATGAATTTTCCATTGTAGGAAATATTCAAGAAAAGAACTGAAACACACTTGACAAATTTCTTGGGGCTCAGAGTTTCTCCTGGATTCCATTATTCTCCTATATGTTCAAGAGTGAGTCTTCCTCATGTGAATTGGGAATTTGAACCTCTTGACAGTATTGGGAATGAGAACAGATATGATGCATCATAAATAAGATTATTGCGTTTGAGATTATGATCCAGTTCTCAGAAGAATATTAATTTGCTGCCATTGTTATTCATATGCTACTTGGAGTGGCTCAAGGGACTAATCGTACAAATAACAATCAAGAAAATTAAACTTTGGGTGCTTGAACTGCTAAAATTGGCTTCTAAATATTGATTAATACATGTTATCTGCTAAAGTGGAGAGGATAGTGAAGAGTGGTCAATGGCAGAGGTTGGGCTGAAGTGTCGGAGGTCAGTATAGGAATATTAGTCTTCTCAAAAAACCAAAACCAAACTCTCTGCTACGAGTCAATTCCGACTCACAGCGACCCCCATTGGGTTTCCAAGGCAGTAAATCTTTACGGAAGTAGGTTGCCCCATCTTCCTTCTGTGGAGCCCCTGGTGGGTTTGAACCGCCAACCTTCTGGCTAGCAACAGAGGCCTTAAGCATTGTGCCACCGGAACTCCTTTATTTGCCCTCTACACAAAAAATGCACTGCCGTGGAGTCAGACCCGACTCATAGTGACCCCTCATTGGGTTTCCAAGGCAGTATAACTACGGAAGTAGATTGCCCAACCTTCCTTCCGAGGAGTGGCTGGTGAGTTTGAACCGCCAGCCTACTGGTTAGCAGTCATGTGCCTTACACACTACACTACCAGAGCTCCCTTATTTGCTCTCTAGTGGCTTTCAGTTGGAAAGAACTTGAGATAATTCAAATAGGTGAAGGTGTCTGCTTTGTATGCTTATAATATTAGCATCACACAGGACTTTACAGATACCTCTTGTTTTATGCTCATGACTGTGTTCCAATGTATCTACTTTCCTACTGCTCAGGTAAAATTTCAACCCCTTCAATTCACACACCACCTTTGCTTCATTGGAAACGCCCTTGACCAGCAATGGAAAGGAAAGGGAACATACTGCAGTTTCAATTGTTGAGGGACTCAGGTTTTCTCTCAGCACGGCATAAACACTTGGAGACATGGGAAGAAGGTCTGATGGAGAATGGGGCTCAGTTGAATCACTGCGGCTTAAAGAGATAATAAGATAAATTTTAAAAAATGTTAAATAGTAGCTCACATGACATTGTATCAGAAACTCATTTCTAGGGCTTCATTTATTTGAGGTTACTAATTCATCATTTGATACCAGAGTATTCAACCCATTATGTCATAAACAGCAAACACAAGGGCAATCTTATCATTCTAGTCATAATAGACTGTGGAAAGCATGCCCTGAAGACTAGCTTTAACTATTAAAAGAAATGGGATATTAAAAAGCTTTATTCACAGTTACAAATTCTCTGCTTTACCTTCAAATTTTCTAAAGGAAAGCTTTTTTTTTTTTTTTTTATGTCTTTTGTAAATTCAATAGTAAATATTTTGTATGTGACTAGAATTACTCACATTGTTGAGATGGGGATAAAAACAGAAGGAACATAACCTTTGTCTCCCCTTTCTGTTGGTCTTGAAACTGGAAAAGAAATGCACATTGTTGGGAAAAATATTATCAAGATTATGGACTTAGGAAAAAAAGTCTGAAAAATATAAGCAATGCTAAGTGAGAGATAATATAGTTATTTAGTGATTGAGAAAAAATTTTGGTTGAAAAGATGCAATAGTCTCCTAGAGGAGCATAAAATATGAAAAAAGAGAAAAGCAAATCTTTTGGCAGACTGAATCTTACTTCTTCACATAGTAATGTCTCTGAAATGTGTGAGAAAAATTGAGAATCAATTCTATTACCTGTCTTCTATATTCCAATTTAAGTTTGATTATAAATACTGATTTATTCATCTATTGGAGATATTTATAGTAACTCAGTTATTTTCATTATAATGGATACTGGTCAATCATAATTATACAAATTTTTTGAAGCACAGACATCAGTGTTGCTAAAAGTACCACTGTAATAGTAGTGGTGTACTTGGAAACATTCCCTATCATTCTTTATCACACTATGGTGAACTGGTATTTGGCCTAGTTATCCAACTGTAAATTATTGCACTGATATTTATTTCATTCAATCAGAGACAGAGAGTCACTTAGAAGTCACAGTTATCTTTTGTTTGATTGTTTTGTTCCCATTTTGGAGGGAATGAAGTAGAATGTCACTCACTGCTTGTGAGTGACAACTAGGATATTCTACAAGATGGGGCTCATAGATTTATTTGCTATGGATGAAGATTTTTATGGTTTTATACTTTTCATGAAAGAAACAGAATAAGGCAACAACGCAACGCACTGCTGTCGAGTCAGATCCAACTTATAGTGACCCTCGTTGGGTTTCTGAGGCGGTATCACTACGGAAGTAGATTGCCCAAACTTCCTTCTGAGGAGTGGCTGGTGGGTTTGAACCACCAGCCTTCTGGTTAGCAGTCAAATGCCTTAGGCACTATGCCACCAGAGCTCCCATATTAAAATTCTATAGCTGATTTAAATAACTTTCTTTCATGTATTCAGTAAATATTGACCGAACGCCTGTTGTGGCCAGGCACTATTCTAGGCCCCAAAGATACGGCCAGAAAAACAGAAATATCAGAACTTTGTGTTGATAGACTAGGAGGCACAGGAATGAGGCACAGACTCCATGGCCTCTCCCCAACAAATAAGCAATTTTTCCTCAGTTGTGAAACTATAAGGTCAATATAAAGCTTACAGATCCTGACCTTCCTTTGAAAATATGTAGACTTGCCTTCCTTTTAAAAGCCTTCTGATCATTATCTCCTCTTTTCCTCTCCCCTAAGACACTTGACTGCTAACCAGAAGGCTAGCGGTTCAAACCCACCAGCCACTCCTCGGAAGGAAGGTTGAGCGATTTACTTCCGTAGTGATACTGCCTCGGCAACTCATGGAGGGGTCGCTGTGAGTCGGGCCCACTCAATGGTACACAACAACAACAAGTCTTAAAAGTAAAGTCAGTGCCACTGCTGTTTTACAAAGGAGAAAATGGAAGCTCTCCAAATAGCTGGAAGAGAGCCCATGGCCATTGTGAGGTCTGGTTACAGCTGCTAACGACTACTCAGTTAGTGTTGGAGCCCCAGAGGTCCCTGTCCAGGAACTGCTGACATACCCCCTGTCTCTCCAGCTTTAACCTCCACAAGCCCTTTAGGGTTGGTAAAGATCAAAGCAAACAAGAAAACAGGAGCATCATTTACTTCCCTGCAACATGAGGTTGTTTCCCAAAACCTTAAGGGGAAAAAAAAAGTAAACAGAACTAACCTTCGCATGGCTGAGAACTGTAGTGTTTACCAAAGGCTTTGTCTTTGGGAATGTCAGGGTAGAGGTACTTCAGTGGGTTTTCTGGAATGTTTTCAGCCATAATAACCTTGTAGTCTCGGAGGATGTCAGCGAATGGCAGAGCAGACAACCGGCCTTTATTGTAGGGTTCTACAGAGTGGAATCTCACTTCTCCTGCAAAGACAGACAGCAGAGGAATATCCAAGTCCCTGCAGACATTCTTGGTGGCCTTTTTCCCTGCCATTATCTTCACATCATTGTTTTAAACAAGGCCAGATGTTCTGTTGTCTGAGTAGAACAGATTATTCAGGAGACAGAGGAGGCCCACACAGGCTGTCATAAATTTTTGTGAGTCCTGTTCTGGGAAAAGTGCAACAACTAGTATTCATAATCACTGAGCGTATAAACAGAACAACACAAGGGAAAGCTCAAATTCAATAACCAAACCGAAGAATACCCAATTCACATTAATAAACAATAGTGAGCATATACCATTTTCGGAATGGTCCACCCAGGTGAAAGTTATTCCTCCAAGATGGCTTTCACTGAATCTTAATAAAAATGTTCCAGGCGTTTTGTCCTTTAGCAAGAGCCGTTCCTTTTCTTTACTAACAAAACCCATGATATACCTAAAAATAGAATGATACACGGTTTTACCTGATTAAAGGCTGTACATTATTGCATTTGCATTTATTTCAGTCACAAAGAAATACTTAGACTATGTTTTCAGTACAATCAAATGTCAGTGGTACCTGAAATACTCTTATACTGTTCACTGTGAATATCAATTGTATATGTAGAATGCAGGAAACCATACCTGTTTTTTTTTTTCCTGTGGCACTAATCATGCTTAGAAGGAAAAGAGGAAAAAAGAAAGAAAAAAAAACTCCAACAACAGAAGAAAAATAAAACATAATAACTCATGTGGAAAATATAGCCTTTAACTTACCCATCAATCCAAAGTGGAAGAATGTGTTTTTTAATTAGATCCAATATTGCTTCAAGCCATGTCCAAAAGGTAAATGATTTGCCAGGTAAGTGTTCCTATGGGAATAAACAAACCAGTCAGGACAACAATTACTTCATCAGTGATGTCGATATAATAATTCAGGTTCCATTTTTCAGCGAAATATTTTCTTTAAATGGGACAATACTTTAGCATTTCTTTTTAAAACATCCTTATCCAGGAAATTATCAAAAGTCCAGATTATGATATGAAGGCTTAGAAAAAAGCACTATGTTTAAGATAAAAAAAAAGAGTATCTAAATGATCTTCCCCTTCCCCTGTTTGTACCTTGCAGAACTTGGCCCAGGTGAGATGACCATCACTGTAGCTAGATAAGACTGAAATGAAAAAAGAGAAGAGAATGAGATGTTTGTTAAACAATCAGACTCTTCAATTTTGTGCTCAATTTAGATAGTTTTTATATTTCTCCCTTTCAAATATCTAAGTACCTGGTTTGAGTCTATAGAGTACTTAGAACTAGGTATAGTAAAAATGTATATCCTTTTTTGCTCTTAGGAAAAATGTTAAGATATCCTTTTTTTTTTTTTTGCTCTTATCATCTAGAAAATAATCCTTTAGGTAGAAGAGCTAAAGATGGCTTCAGGAAAAGGGTGGGTCTGTAGGACCAGGCCTCCATGAATGGGTAGAATATACATTGTCAGCGGAGAGGGAGAGTGCACTCCAGGAAGTAAGAATAATGTAGGGTGAGACATGGTGGACATGAATGTGTCTTATATAGGAGACAGTAAGAGCAACCTAACGTTGGTGAATAAATATTGCATAATTTATTTGTATAAATTAGGCATAGTCAGATTAGCAGGAGTCTTGAGTATTGGGGAGCTCTGGTAGTGTAGTGACTAAGGCACTTGATTGCTAACCAGAAGCCTGGCGGTTCAAACTCACCAGCCCACTCCTTGGAAGGAAGGTTGGGCAATCTACTTCGGTAGTGATACTGCCTTGGAAACCCAAGGAAGGGTCGCTATGAGTCGGGTTGGACTCAATGGCACATAACAACAACAACAACAACAACTTGACTGTTAAGACAAAAAGAATTAGCTAGAGTTCCATTAAGCTATGTTGTTGTGTTGTTGTTATATGCCGTCGAGTCAGCCCTGACTCATAGCGACCCCTCCTTGGGTTTCCGAGGCAGTATCACTACGAAAGTAGGATTGCCCAACCTTCCTTCCGAGGAGTGGCTGGTGGGTTTGAACCGCCAGCCTTCTGGTTAGCAGTCAAGTGCCTTAGCCACTATGCTACCAGAGCTCCCCCATTAAGCTATAGGAAGCCATTAACTGTTTTCACCCAGGGCAGTGAGAGGAGACAAGAGTTTCTATCTAACTACATTTTTAAGGAAATTACACTCATCATAAGGATAATTTAATAAAGGTATAAAAGAATGTGGTTGCTAGCTATATTATGTATTTTAAAGCTTTATTCACTAATTAACAAATACTTATTGAATGTCTAGTTATTGTGTTTTTATGAATTTGTTTTAAAAAAGGACTGAAAAGGAACTTTTCATTAAGTAAATTTAGTAATATTTCCAAAGACCCTGATTTCAATTACCTACTGATCAAAGAATAGATGGAAGTGGCAACCCAGACTCACACTCAGTCAAAACTTTAATCACATGTGATTCAACTACTGCCACTTGAATTAACCTCTGGTCCTACTTTAACTAGAAATGCATAAGACCCAATTCCAACTCTTTTTTTTGGGGTGCTAAATTGTTTTCACCCCATACTTGTCAAAATACAGATATCTTTTAGAAAAAATTTAGACTGTTGTTAGTACATGTAGTACCAATGACTCTATTTTGCAAACGTTAAAAATCTCAGTCAAACCTGAAATTTTCTTTGTAACAGAGTCCTTAACATGTAGAATTGAGTATTTACTGGGTGGTTTTGAATGTCTATTAAATTTCCTAGACTTGGTGGGGGAATTAACTATTTTCCAGTTGGTTAATGTCAATTGTGATAGTAATATGAAAGACCAAGTTACCACTAAAGGTGGAAATGACATTAGAACATTCTAGAGATTGGATATGGAATGGAAAAGAGGAGACTTTAGAAGTGGATACACCTGGGTGCAGTGGTTAAAGTGTTTGGCTGCTAACAAAAAGGTCAGTGGTTCAAACCCACCAGCTGCTCTGTGGGAGAGCGATGAGGCAGTCTGCTTCCATAAAGATTTACAGCCTTGGAAGCTCTGTGGGACATGATACTTTGTCCTGTAGGGTCACTATGAGTAGGAATTGACTGGATGGATGTGGGTGGGTGGGGCTTATGCCTAGGCTTTGCTATGTACTAGCCATGCAGAATGGCATGTTACTTAACATCTGACTCCCAATATAAAATGGATAGAACTATGTCTGACTTGAGGAACTTTTGTGAGAATTAGAGATAATATAGGGTGAGCATTTAGCCCTGTGCAATATAGTAGACACTCATAAATTGTGACTGTCATTATTAATTGTAGCAATACCATCCTGGTTCACTTAAGTACCAAAAACAGAGGCAAGTCCTCCATATCTACCAGTTCATACCTGTAAGCTTCTCTGCCAGCATGTTGAGTTGATCTGAATTAAGTCCACGACCAACATATGAAGAAAACTGCCAGCTCATCACTTCCAGGAGTTGACTCAAAGTAGCAGATGGAGGATTATTAAAGAAAACCAAGTTCTGCAATAGAGTTGTGAAGATGATTCTATTTGTTATTCACACTAAAAAACTATAATTCAACACAAAAGTTTTTCCTGATTTAAACTCTTTAGGCCAACCCAAGTTCATAAGGCAGAATATAGTCTCACCCCTACTTTTTAAGATTGATTTTGTTTCCCAATAATTCCTTATTCCTTGAATCTAACTTAATGCAGTTTCCATCTCATCCTTGAAACAATCATTTGGCATATCTTGATTTAACATTCACTGGAAGATTGGCTATCAATCAACTCATACAAGTTCGTAATGTTGTTGTTATTGTTGTTATTTGCCGTCGAGTCGGGCCTGTTCAGCAAATAACTGGGCAGATACTCTTTTCAGAAATAATGTTAATCTTAAAAAAAAAAAAAAAAAACCCAGAAAACAAAAAACAAAAATCCCATATCATGTTCTTTAATTGGTTTATCATAGGTTGGTACAAGTTACACTTTGACCAGACAAAGCATCCCAAACGGCAAGAAACAAACAAGTCTCGGGCTAAGGAAGATGACCTTATTACAATATAAGTTTATGGTTAACCCCATACTCCGGTTTTATGGCTAGTATAGCAATTTTTTCTTTCTTTCTTTTCTTTTTTTGCTGTAGACAAGAAATACCTTTTGTATGATCCGCTAAAAACAAGGTTGTTTGTGTCAGAAATTTGTCTAACAATGGTGCAACAGAAGACTTGTTCCCACACTACTGGAAAGCAGATAGGTGTGAAAGCTGAGAAAGATCTTGAGAGGAAGAGAGAAGAAATGAGAAATCTTGAGCAGTACCGTTGGTGAATTTGGGCTAAGCTGAGCTGCAAGGAGAACAAATTCAGAGATTTCAGAAGGTGAGAACAAAAGAGGACACAGCATCCAACAAAGAGTGGGGCCGTGGGTTGGGGGAGGGTAGAGAAAGAACTTTTAGGGAGGCGGTTTTTCCTGAACCCAAGACTCACATCTGGATAAATAACCAGAAAGCACAGAATATAATCAAAGTCTAGGTTTCAAAACAGAATAGAATTAAGAAGGCAAATCAGACTTAGTTGTTAAGCTGGGCTCTGCAACAAGGCTGGTGCATCTGTGTTTTAGGAGCTGCTTAGGGTCTACAACTCAACATTTCTCATCCTGGAACAGAGTTGAATCTGCTATCTTAATGGTTAGTGTGAAGATACTGATGGTTTTCTTACAGAAGGATTCTGAAGAGAGCTAAAATGCAGCACTATGCTCTGAGAGTGGAGAACAGAGAAGTATTCCATGGCCCCTCTTTATGCCCTGGTGTCGGACAGAGAGCTCTGAACAGGTATAACTCTTAGGACTGACATTTAATCTCAACACTGTTGGTTCTTCTTTTACATAATGACCAGGTAACTCCTGTAAGGAGTTCTGTTCTGCTGTCCGCCCACTGAGAAGCAGGGCACTGAGTTCTCTGGGTGGCCTTCCTCTCTGCAGTTACTCTACCTCAGATGCCAGGGCACCAGCAGATCAGAAGGAATAGGGCTGAGTCATTTTCCAGCTAGTTTCCTTATTGTTGTTGTTATGTGCCATTGAGGAACACGGAATTAGAGGACAGGACCACTTTGAGCTGACTCATTACGGCTTGATTCTTATTGCTGGAGAGTAAGGTAAGAGAATTCTTTCCTTTGAAGGGAGCATTTGCTTTCAATTAAGAGGAAACATCGTTATTTACACTTCGCTTATTTTCTCTAGCGCTTGGTGGTTTCCGGCGCAATGCACTGAGGTTCTGTAAGAGGGAAGTAGGGGAAGCGCACCACTCTCTGACCCTTTTTTGTCCCCGCCCCCCCCCTTGTTATCTTTTTCTTTTTTTAATTTTATTTTGATTTGGGTGAAGATTTACAGAGTAAAT